CTTCATTCACAATTGATGGTTCAGTTGTTTTGATCATATAATGAAACAAATTTAACTGTCAGAGAATATTTTGTGTCTCCTTTACTTGACATAACTACCTCTCTATTAGGAAATAATAATACTATGCAATTCAGCTGATGGGGTACTTTTGTTCTTCTTCAATCATCTTTTCATATGAAAGCTTTATCTGGGAATTGTCACAAATATATAATAATAATGGCATTTTCATCCTTTGACAGAGAAGTGATCTTGAGATCATTACTTAGATAGAAAATGATGTGTTTTATCTTGTTTCTAGGCAATTTTTCTCATTGCTTGGGAACATTTTCTTTCCTGTTAAGCTAATTCTCACAGTGGAAAGTTATATATAAATTTAATATAAGCAGTGGTCTATTACTGAAGAATAAAATTAGCAATGCACATGCAAGATATATTTTCTTTAAAATGTACTACTAACTTTTTATTTATTTCCACTTTCTTAGTTTATATTCTTTTTCTAGTTTTGGCCAAAATCAAAGGGACAATCATTTCTCATACATATGAATACAATCCATTTGATTTGTCTATTCTGTTACGGCAAACTGTTATTAAAGATGAGATGTAAATCATATGAGAAGATCTCGTTGGTCGCTTAAATTTTAGTTCCAATCAAGCCCGTGGCTAAAGAACTACTGTGGTTATATTTTAAACAATGTTTAGGGTTTTTCCACCAAATTATGAAGTCGATCAAAAGAACTACCTAAAAATATGTTGGTTTTACTTCTGATGGGAAAGAATAGGGAAAATAAGCATTTGGAGAAAATGTTGATTTAAAAGTCAAGAGAATGCATTACTGGTTTAATTTTTCCAAGTGCCACAAATTAGATGGTAAGTTATTAAATTTTATTTTTATTTTATTTATTGACAAATATAAGATATATATTATATAAATTTTAGGATCTGAACCCCGACAGGTTCCATATGCTTTTCTACATAGAACTTTATTACAACTAGAGCTTCCCAAAATGTTATACTTTCCATATTAGTAAACAAAGAATAGTTACACAGTAAATGGGACATTGAGTCCAAATATAAATGTCCCTTTGACTTATGCAGATGATTTTCTGACTCCCTAATATATTACTATTTGGCAATACTCATTGTAAAATTATTTGAGTTAGTTTTACATCTAGCAGTAAATACCAACACATGCATGAGAAATCTATCATGTATCATTATAGAGAAAATGTATCAAATTATGAATATTGTCTAAAAAATCATACAGATTCCTTAAGCAGGTATCAATAATTATTGATTTTGGGAATGTTGGGACATTCTGGGTGGCCCTAGAAACAAAAAGTATCCTAGATTTTAAAGAGAAATTCAAAATAAAATTTTACCTTAATTTTGCTAACTAGTGTCTTTGTTTTAGTTTTATCTGTTCGTTTGTAACAGGAAACCTTGTAATCCATTAGGTCATCCATATCTGTTCATATATTGAATATTTTATGTTTAAACATAAAGTTTGGAAGACTAAAGACACTTTACTAAACAAGCAAACAGCAATTATTCCTTCATAATTACCATGAAACTTTATTGCCGTACATTGTTATATTTTAAATACTCCCTATTTGCATGACAGACCATAATGTCTTCCCACATATTGCAATCTGTGGCTTGGAACAGCATCTCTCTTCCACAACGCCTCTTTTTCATTTAGTCTTCATTTTAACTACTGTTAAGAGAGACTAAACAAAATTAATTGGCACTATAATCCTGCAACAAGGAAATTGCAGGCAGTACAGTATTTCTGTAATGCTGAAACCATCTCATTATTCAAAAGAATTCATGTTTAACATTTCAGATATATTCTTTCTTCCATTAACACAGACTCATAATTAAACCAATGCTTCTCAAATTTTAGTCTGGATGTAAATCACCCAGGGATAATGTTAGAATACAGATGTCAATACAGCCACTCTGAGGCCAGAAGCCTAAGATTCTGCATTTCTTACAATTTCAGGTTCTAAAACATTGACCCCAGGTTCTAAAACTTTAAGCACTCTGTGATTAGCATTACTTTCATGTATTACCTATAGCTAAGTTTAAAAAGGTTTTAGCAATATGCATATATGCACACATATATAGACTACACAAACACACCACACACACACACACACACACACACACACACACACACACACACACACAGAGAGACACACACACACACACATTCACACACACATTTTACCTGACCCTTATATGAATCTTTTGTACTCTCTAGGCTCAAAATCAATTGTCACATCAGTGGACTTATTTAACACAAGAAGAAACAATACCTTATCTATGAAACTCTGCCACATAATGCTAAGTAATTTCACTCTGAGGTGAGCTGGGTTACATGGTCTGTAGAGATATAGATTGGAAAACTCACAGAAAACATTATTACTCATACAGTATTTCAGACCAGTGATTGCAAACTTTGACTTTTTCATCTGGATCAACAATTTATATTAGTTCTGTTGTCAAGGCGGTGACTGTGTATAGACTTCCCTTGATACAGTCATCCTCTTCCTCTTCCTGTTTATCAGAATCACTGAAGTCATAGGATGATCAGAGCAGACAGTTGGAATGCATTTAGGTTCACTGAGGCAACACAGAATTTTCCATAAAGTAGCTGTCTTCTTCCCCAGAAGCTGTTCTAAGACTCCCAATGGATGTTGGAAATTACCTAGAGTATAAAACCCTTTATTCTTTTTTGTACATATATACCTATTTTAAAGTTTATTTTAGAAATTGGACACAGTAAGAGAATGACAGTTAATAATAAAATAGAAAAAAATATAAAAATATATTGTGGACCTGATTTCTCCCTGTCTTAAACAACTACACTCTACTTGCCTTGTTATTGTGATTGGAGATGCTATGAAGAAACACAATGCCTACTCTTTGGCATATGAATTGCAGCACTATTACTGTTTTTGAGTGAAATATGAGTTAATTGAACACAAGTAATTCATACTGCAACAGTTGTTCTGACAGTAAAGATGACTACGAGGTGTCTAATGACCAGGCAGAAGGCACAGCTTTGGTATTCGGGATAAGATGATGATTCTTGTCCCAGCCAGCACTGAGTGGTATTGTCCAAGATTTTGTCAAATTAATCAGAATGGCACAATATCTATAATTCATTAATTATCTCTGGAATTTCCTATTTAATATTTTGGGATCAGAATTGTCCATAACTAACTGAAAGTTTAGGGAGAGAAGCTGCAGATATAGACTACTATAAAGAGCTCTGTGCTTGGAACAGGGCAAAAATGACATTTTGTTTTATGTTTTTCTTGGTCAGTGATAATTATTATTTCGAGTCATTTCTTCTAATAGCAATAAGAAGAGTCCTGCAATTAAAAAAAAAAAAAAAAGAGTGCGCTAATGGGATTGACACAATACTGTTGTCCTTTGGAGTCAGGTGATTTTCAAATATTTATTTGTAAACACTTGTTTGAACATACTTACTTGTAGATACCGATTTGCAGATATCTGTTTGCCTGTAATCTTTTTTTTAATGATTGATTTTGGATACAATTAGAGTTTCATAATAATTTTTAGTTTCCAGGTGAGTTAATACTTACTAGGGTTTCAAATAGGAAGAAAATTATGTCAGCGAAACTATTATTTATTAAGAAAGCAATTTTCCATATGAATTGTTAAACTGCAATGATGTGAAACAATAAACCTTTCTGTAGTTCACATATTTTTAACGTGATCTTGATTGATGTTACCTGGTCCTCTATGTGTTTCTATGGACAGTTTCAGGCTGGTTGGATTCACATTCCTGCTGATCTTGAGTTCTCACTCACCTGTCTGTATGCTTACTAGGCATTGGATGCTCTAGTGGAGCCTTGTCTAGATAGTTAGCCTTGACTCAGCTCCCTGTTCATCTTATTCTCCAGCAGGGGAACCTGGGGCGATTTCCATAGACACACAGAGGATTTAGTGGCATGCTTTTCAAACTTTGTTTCACTTACTAATGAACTCATTGGCCAACGGCGTTCATCTGGGGTCAAATCAAGATTCAGAGTGAGCTGGTTCCATGCAATTAGAGTTACAGAAGGTGATTTTTAGTTGCACACATATTCTGAGATGGTGACGGATAAAGGAAACGCATGTTGGTGTTCAGAGAGTAAACTTACAAAATAATAATGGATTTATTCAAACAAACCAACAGATTAACACTTTTTGCTGTCTTAAAATATTTACCAACATTGTTGAGTCAAATGGTTTTCTTTGTGATGTAAGTTTTAGAAGTGAATTTGTGACATACTGACGTTTTTATCATTTCTTCCTAGGAAATAATTTTGCTAAAGTCCTGCAAGATCCCCACAATCTCTCTGTGAATCATGAATTATAGTCATATCCTTGGCCACCTTTGGTCATGTGTTTCACTTAATAGTCTAATAATCGTTCTCCTGGTGTTCTGACTAGATTTTACTGATAAATTGGAGTGCAAACTGTTTAGTAGAGGATCAATTTCTAGTCTCTTTGAAATTGTTAAGGATTAATGAGAAACAAAGCTAGCTTGCTTACAGTTAGCAAGGTTCATGTCTTTTTAGAAAGAAGATCCACAAGATCAGTTTCCGAAATTGAGCCCTAGTTTTTACAGTTAGCTTAAAGATGAAGTATTCGTTCCCACAAAAATACAAATTATGAGTATGTTTCTAACTTAAACAGAAGGGAATCTGCTTGCTTCTGCACTTCTGAGGAAAGTTCACATTCTACTTCAACTAATTATTTTTTCAACAATAATTTTTATATTCTTTTATGGTCTGCCAGTACTTTTTTTGAAGGCCAGTTAGAACAGCAGCCAACAAAGCGGAGACTAAAATGAAGCCAAATGTCTCTACAGAACCAAGATGCTACTTCAAAAGATGTTTGCTACAAAGCTCTACAGTGACTCAGATAATCTCTTGCTTTTAAGGAGAATTTGCTAATGTGGAATTGATTTCTTATCTTGCCAGCTCCCAATGAACCATTACTGTGCAAATTCGCTGATGGAGGACAAAAGAAACGGCAAAATCAAAGCAAATATACCCAGAATGGGAGGCCTTGGCCCAGAGAAGGAGAGGTGAGTCCAGACTGAAAACTTGCGCTTAGAAATTCAACAGCATACACTTTTCAGAAAGAAGGCAAAGCAGACGTTTAGGGCCATGAGAAAATTTGGTCCCATAGAAAATGCAAAGATTTCAAAGGTTCAAGTAATCAGGCCTGCATAAATGTGTCTAGGGCAAAATGACATAGGAAGAATCCGGGGCTTAAAAACCAACCTCAGGTCTACACTACAAGAAGACTTCTGTCTTTATCCAAACTTGATCCTGAAAGGAATGCACGAATATATCACTAAGAATTGATTTGTACTGATGGGATAATTATAAAATGTGGGTTTGTTTGTTAAAGTGAATGTTTTCAATTGAAATCAATGCTGAAAGTTGAATGTTTGTGTTTTGAAAAAGACAAAGAAAAAATAAGACGTTTCATGTGGTCACTGGTGGTCCACTTGCATGTGTGTTTGTTTATTTGCATGCCCATATGTTTACTGATGTGTCGGTGTGAGATGTGTGTGTGTGTGTGTGTGTGTGTGTGTGTGTGTACACACACAGATACATCAACTCAAAATATGACATTTTTGGTTGACAAGAAAAAGGAAGAAAAATTGATATATACAGGGTTCTGCAATTCACAATAAAGCAAATGAAAAGCAATCAACAATTAACTGTACATTTATTCTCCTATTGCAAACTGGCGGAAAGGAAAGCTTAGCAATCCTATGTCATTTGGAAATGCATTCCTTTAGTTATTTAAAAAAGAAAGAGTATCTGAGATCCTTTGAGCTGTTTTCATTCTTTGTAAAATGGAATAGAGTTGTTTGAATGACTTGAGTAAATGCCATTTTGTACCAAGACCACTATTTTAACAGAGTGTTTAATGGAGTATTTCTATTCAAAGCTCCTACTTTACCCATTTATCACCTAAGGGGCATTGAACTTTCAGCACTGAGAAAGCAGTTGTGAGAAAAGAAAAGAGGCTAATATTTTTCTCTGTAAACCTTTTAGCCATTTTTTGGTTTCTGAAATTGTCTGTTTTGAGCAGTTCCATCCAGGTTTCAAAACTCTTCTTAAAGTTATATAATTCAAGTGCTACATTATTTTTGACTTATTGCATTAAAACATGAAAAACAGAATTATTACTGAGCACTGAAAGCTAATAGAAAAAGGCAAATTTCCTTGTACTCATCTTTAGAAAAACAGTTTATTTTGTGTTCTACGGAGAGGAGGGATTGACCCTTTTGTCTTTAGCATGGACATCAGTGTATCGGCAGGCAGCCCCACTGGCCCTTGAAGACATTCAGCATTTAGAAAGACCATTGGATCTTTACAACTTGGTTGGGTAAAATCCCTGCTGATGGTAACCCATAGGCTCCAAGACTCAATTCAATAACTTAGTGACTAAAGCTTCACTACCTGTTTCCTCAAGATCCTGTAATGTCACCCTCACACTAGAAAGCAAGTTACACCAAGAAGTTTCATCAGCATCTACATTTCTTGGAAATCAAACCAATGAATAAAAGGAATGCAGAGTTGGTCCTCTGTTACTCTGAATAGAACTAGGGCGCTTGGCTCAGTGCATGACAAATACCATATGTACCACATCATGGAATCAAGTTTATGACCCAGATTACCTTATAATTTAGTTGTAGGTTTTAAAAGAGTTTCCTAATCTTTTTTGTAAAATTTCATGTTTTTCTGGTTGGAGTTAAATATCAAGAGGTGATAGTAAACTTATCTATGACCAATAAAATATATTCCAAATATGTCGGTAACTCAGTACATTGAAAGGCAAGAAAATAGAAAACTGAAATATATGCATTGTAATACACTGATCAGATACTTTGGTTTGGGATAATATGTTAATTAATAAATCTTAATTGTGTCCCCAGAGGTAGATATAGCAACAATGTTGGATCGCTTTGCCCATCATTCTATAAATTTTATTTCTATCCTCTTTTACATTATTCTTTACTAGAGTAACTTAAAGCATATTAATGAAGTGTTTCATAATACAAATAACTTTATAAGCAATATTTAAATACATTTTATGTTCTTTTAAATTCGAATTGCATATGTTGTTCATTCCAAACATGTGTTTTAGTTACTGTTAGTTTTCCATAGTTTAACACTTGGAAATTGATTTTCCACTTATGATTAACAGCATCTTTCCAGATAGTTTACATCTGTCCTATTAGTCGCCTGGGGGCACCACCTACATCCTCTGCTTGAGGTCAGTGACTACCCGGAAGAATAAAAACACTATTCAAAGTTAGGACTCCAGCACTAGCTCAAGGGAGAACTTTCATTCTTCCCTCCATTTAGAGATGTACTTTTCCTTAAATGCATTTCTGAAGTGTTATGCCTAACACTGTAAGAACATCCTTTTAAATATCTATTTTTGCTCTTTGTTTTTAATCATTGTTGTCTCACATACAATTTTAAAAATTAAATTATGTTGCTTCAGACTTTAAAGTAATAGCCCAAAAGATGTTTGCTTTTCCTTTCTTTTGAAGTCAAATAAAAATTGCTAATATGAAGAGGATTTCTGATAAAAAGAAAAAAAAATTCCAACATACCGCAAACATTTCAGAAGTATTATAAATATGAAAACTGAAAGCCTAATTAAAATTTTAATTTATTGTTTCCAGTTGCCTTCTTTTAGGGTGGCATTTTGGTAGTGTTATTAACACAATTTGGTTTTTTCTTTATAAAACCTAATACTGAAAACTTTACAGACATAAATTGGTTTACATTATCAAGGTTTTGAAATAGAAATGAATGCCAGTACAATGTTTTTGCAGAGATGAAAAACATAGGGATAGCCATCATAATATAAAAAGCACATTTATATGCATAATTACATTTTTAGAGCAAAATATTGCTTTGAAAAAAGTGGCACTATTTTATACTTTTGCACAGTCATGTCTGGCTCAGTAAAAGATGACCTGATTTGCACATTTACTTAACATTCACTCTATTGCTATATGCCACTTTATTTCTAACATATAAAAAAATCTAACTTTGCTTTGATATGCCATTGAAAATGAGAGGATTTTCTATATCTCTTGAGAACCCTCAGCTATTGATAGGGCACAGTTTGAGAGCCATTGTGCCTGAGAAGTCTGTACCAAAGACACTGCAAAAGAACTGAATTCTTAAAGCGCCATCAATCCTGTTTAAATATTAAAATCTGTCTGTGTCAATTAGTAAGGAGCCTCTACCACTATTACAGCAATATCAGCTCACTTTTATCAGGGTAGCTGCTGCAGAACCCACCATGATCTAGAGGAGTAGGTTGTTGGTTGGGACAGCCGGAGGTCCCCAGACCCCATTGACAATTACAATTTATTGGCCAGCACTTGTGCTATGCAAGGGCTAAAGTATTATGAATGTCTCTTTCATCTCCAACATTGCTCACTTGATCATTTTGTGACTCTCATGATCCCTGTGACATTGTATTGCCCAGGTATTTTATTATAGTGAAGGCCGTGTTCTCAGTTCTTATTTCAAGGAAAATGCTACTACTCAAAGTGACCTTTACTGTGATTCGTAGATGAGTGGTCAGGAACCAGGCATGTTTCAAAATATTTTTAAAATGTATCAGGGATATGAAAATCAACTCTTACTACTTCCTCTTGTGTGCTCAAGGAATACATTTGCAGTGGCATCAAAGAGCCATCAAATCCGTCTTTACCCCAAATAAAAACAGCTGATCAGAGAGCTAATAGCTATGAGAGTCCTCTTTCCTGACTACCAGATCAGAACCTGATTTATTGACACTTAGTGCCTCAGTAAAGACAATTGTAAGCTAAAATACATATTTATTCATTTATCCATTCTTTCAACCACTGTCAACACCACAGTCACAAAACATACACAGACGTGTACACACTGACTTCTGGTATGTGTATTTTTACAACCTTAATTCGATTATATCAGAAAGATGATTAGATCAAATCAAAGGATTGATAAGTTTCTATTATAATTATAAAGGTCATTAAAATTTTGAAATTACTTTGTTTTTTCCTTTGTTGTGACTGGTCTCTGAGTTTTTAAAAAATTTTTAAATATAAGTAAGTGCTAAGTTTTACATTTTTGCGTGTGAGGCTATCTCACTAAATTTTTATGTTGAATTTGTGTTCTTAAATAGTAAAAAAAGGCTATTCTTTCAGGGATCATTTCTATACTATGTTAAATAATACTGATATCAAAATCAGATTTTCCCTGTTTGAAACTCTCGTCTAGCTTTCATAAAATTTTCCTAAGTCTTGTATTAATTGAGTCAATAAATGTAATTGATAATTGTTTGGGAATTATATATTTCTAAGAAATAATGTTTTAACCATGGGCACAAACATGAGACATGACAGATGAGCAAGAAGCAACAAAGTCTTCAGATGTTTTCTGAAAAATGCCACATTTTATTATAAAACAAAGTCCATTGAAATGATATTTCTTGTCTTCATCTTATTTACAGTTCTCTGCCAGAGTCAATTTAAAAGCTACAAAAAAAATAACAAACATGTTTTCTTTATTTGATGCTCTGAAGGTCATTTCCCTTACTATGGAAACATTTTACAAGATTATCTTCACAGTTTGGATGTGAAAATGAGCTAATAAAATTAATGTAATATTGTTAACAACTAGCACTCAGATTACTAGAAATAGTGCACAGGTGTATGTCAAAAAAACATCCAATAAGGTTTTGGGAATGCAGTCTAAGAGTATTAAAGTTTGGAATTCCTTAATTATCCCCAGTTAAAAAAAAACAAAAACAAAAACAAAAACAAGTTTTATGTGCAGAATGACATTGCAGCACTCCTGATGATAATATTAAAGTGAATTTTTAAAATCTAAGATATAGGCCTCTCTGTACAGAGTACAATATTTTCACTGCCAATACCAAGGATACCAGGGTAAAATCCCATGGCCCTGTCTGGATGCCTTAGTTTGAAAATCTTTAGAGATTTTGATACTGACATAGGATACTTTAATTTTCTTAAATTAGAAATCTATTAAT